TGTGAAAATTGTTTCTTATATAACTTTTTTCTTATTTTGTGAAACACGATCTAAAAGAGAGTGTTGAAGTGTTTAAGGGCAGAAAATTAACCACCCCCCGCCCCCCCTCCCTACAGACCGTGACCGACAGGTCCAAAGACCATCACTGACCGTGACCGACAGCTTTTCAAAGAGCATCACAGACCGTGACCGACAGCTTTTCAAAGAGCATCACAGACCGTGACCGACAGCTTTTCAAAGAGCATCACAGACCGTCATCGACATGGCAAAAGACCATCACAGATCATAACCGGAAAGACATGAACGACTATCAGAGACTGCAATCGACATGGCAAAAGACCATCACAGATCATAACCGGAAAGACATGAACGACTATCAGAGACTGCAATCGACACGACTGCAAACACCATTATAGACTGTGAGCAACAAGGCTTCAAAGACCATCAGACGCAGTGACCGACAGCAGTTCTAGGATACTCACAGATTGTGAGCCAGACTCTTTTTGAGATGCTTAAAGTCTCTGATAGAGAAAGCATTAAAAAGCACGACAGAGAACAACTAGAGAAGTATGGTGATATGAAATTTCAAAGAAATTTATGAATCGTGTTCGAATAAAAATGTATAAAAAACTGATTCAACAGAGTCATAGTCACTGGTGGTTTCAATAACCGTATCGACGTTAGACACTTGATTTTCAACGTTTTCAATAGCCTGACTTGGTTCTTGTGGATGGCGTTTTAATCGTCTATAGTTGCGATCTTTTTCTTGTTGAAGAGTTTTTTTTTTCATATGATCGTTGTAATCGATACCGACGTTGTCGTTGTCTATTCGCGATACGTGTTTTATGAATTGATTGAATTGTTTGAGATTTTTGATAGTCGGATAAAATCTGGGTGCGTATACGTAAACGGTATTCACGTTTTTGTGTGTTTATTCGTTTTCGATATTCATTCGGATCTTCTTGTCGTTGTCGCATACGACAGCGACGCATTCTTCTAGCATGTCCAATTAAAAATGTGTCTGGCTTATTTGATGTCGTCATAGCACGTATGATTAAAAAAATGTCGATGATAATATTAATATTAATAGTTTTTCAAATATAAATGCAATTCAAAAAAAAATATTGTTTTATGAATTTTAAAACTCGCTTTTTATTAAGGCGCTCATACTTTAAAATACATACTGCTTTGGCATTCAAATATATCTATACTTCATATTCATTAAATCACGTATTAATCGATTACACTATATTGCATATCAGATCAACTGAATCAATAAACTAAATAAAATAAAATAAGATATTATAAAATAAACAATAATAAAGACGTATAGTTGTTTGAAAATTTTGACCATATATAATAAATCATCATACTTAGCTTTTAATCAAATACATTGAAAAAACATAAATTAAATCAATATATAAAAACACGAACACTCCAAGTACGATATTTGTGATATTTCAATATATATTTTAGGATTATGTTAAATGTTAATCAGATAGATATAAGATTAATAGCTGATCAAAACAAAATCGAGAATATCATAAATGGATTATCATTGTGAAATTTGAACTCTCTATTCCATGACCATATTTGACTATTAATCACGAATGTTAAAAAAAATTGCATAAAATAAAATAAATATTCGAATATACTCAACAGGTATGAATCATTTCAAATTTAATTGATCTAGTTTATTGTTATGTTGAATTGTTATTTAAGCTAATTCAAGAAAAATCAAGTGAATAATAAAGGATTAAAAATTATAGACAGTCATAATTATTTAGAAATTTCACTAGTTCTTTTATAACCATTTTAATT